GAGAGAGAGAGAGAGGAGGAGAAAGGAGGACTCCCAAATGAAATGACAACAGGACAGGAGATCAATTTGAAGAAAGCAAGCGAACCTGACAAGAGCATAAATAAATTGAGATTTCCAGCGGGACAGTATTCTCTAGTAGTGGGCCAAAGGACCGGATTGTCGACCCGATCACATCACGGCCACAAGGGCTAAAAGCTGTCTGTCCCACTCTGATACCGTCACGTTGTCTTCTGGTGATGATGGTGGTGAACCAAATGCGCCGTACTCGTAATCCTCCTGCAGACTGTTTTCCAGAAACAGGAGTTAAGAAACAGGGGAATATCAAAATGGAGATCGCATCTTTGGAGAGGCCAGCACACATAGCATGGACATAGCATACATGGATAGACATAGGATGATTGGACCGTGTATAGACATAGCACAGATGAATAGACATAGCATGAATGGATAGATTTAGAATATATGGATAGACATGGGAAACATGAGTAGGTATAGCACAGATGAATTATAAGCATAGCATACATGGATAGACAGAGGATGATAGGATCATGAATGGAGATACCATAGACAAAGGACCATGCATGGATTAGCACAGACATAGCAACGCACATAGCATGCATGTAGTATAGACGTATGATGGACATAACACACAGGCATCAAAGAAGCGCATGCCAGAAATGACATTGTGTGAATAGACATAGCACGGGCAATGGGCATAGCATAGACAGTGGACAATCGATGCACACAGAATGCTCACATGGATGTATCGCATACAAAGCATGGACATGGGATGGAGACATTAGCACAGACGTAGAATCATTAATCGCCAGAGCGCAGACTTTCAACACGAATTGCATGCACTTAGCACAGAGTTATCCCATACACGCACATATCGGGTAGTCATGACACAAGTGCACATAGCACATAGCACATAGCACGTAGCACATAGCACATAGCACATAAAATAGCATCATGAATTGAATAACAGGGACATTACATAGTATATACAAACTTCTTTTTTCTTTTTTGAAAAGCACTAGCTTGGGCCTGCTAGTGGGGGGGGGGGGTGATATGAGCATCCTCCCCTAGTAGACCGTTCACTGGTTGCCCCAATCTATTAGTGGGGGACGGCACCTGCTGGGAATCGGGCTCAGTGTCCCAGATAAACAACGACTCATGCTCTATGTGCATTGTGCATAGCACAGAACCTCTCTCTCTCTCTCTCTCTCTCTCTCTCTCTCTCTCTCTCTCTCTCTCTCTCTCTCTCTCTCTCTCTCTCTC